GGGGCCCAGCCACAACCTGCGGCGGCGGGTTTGTCTGGTACATGTAGTTGTTGTTGTTGATGATGTTCTGGGCGGGATTAGAGCTTGCTCGACTTGTCTGACCGATCCTTTTTCTTGCACAAATCAAATGGGCATTGAATCTACACTCTTGGCAACTGTACATCCACGAATTCGACCCCGTACCTTGGCATATCCTGCAGAAGAAGCTTCTGGAGCTGTCTGGGATGAAAAACGTGAGGCGGAGCTCGTGTTGAGGGTGAGAATGGTGGGAGATTCTGGAAGGCATGTTCGCGCAGATCGTGTGGAGATCAATCCCGCAATCTCCGCAATGGTATGAGAAACCATTTCCATCTTTCCCACAAGCATCGCATCTGAAAAGCCCCTCCGGGTATTGGGGAGAGGGAATTAGGGTCAAGAGATGGATTTGGTCGAAAGGGTGTTTGATCTTCTGAGGTAATTCTGAACATTTCTCGTGGAGATGAAACCCACAGGCTCTGCACGTGTAAGATGGGAGGCCGGCTAGCTTGAGGTTACACGCCATGCAAGAAGACATCAGATCTTGAGGATCTGACGAGGGTTGTAATGGATGGGGATGGCTGAAATGTCGGATTGGATTTCTCGGCCTCCCCATAGGTTACTTGCAATGCAAGTCAACTCCTTCTGTGTTTCAGACAGCTCTTTGTGATGGTGAGTAGAGACAGGGACGATGACCCTCTTGAAACTGCTTTCTTATATTGAACCGATACCAAGCCCTGGGCTAGGTTTTACGTGGGCTCACAGAATTGTTCATCGATCTTTGAACGAGTTAATGCAAAAGGCAAGGCAGCCGATTCATATCCTATATGCGGGTTTGGTTTGATCTCAACTAGAATCGAATCAATTGCTCGGATCTTGCCCCTGTATGCTTGAGACTTTAAAGTCTTTGACGTGGCGTAGGGTTCTGACAGTTTTTTTTTCTGACAATTATTGTCAGAACACGGAGAGTTTGGATTCTTCTGGTGAAGGTTTTCGAAAGTCAACGGTCGGACTATTGTCAGATAAAATTATGTCCCACTTGGAGAAAATCGGAAACTCTATTGCCGACCAACGACTTTGTCAAACGTTTCGGTATCACGGTTTCACATGAACTCAGTTAAGCAGATAATCCTCCAAATATTTTCTACCTTATTTTATCCTTAGTTCATGTAATTTTTCTAAACGTTATTTACCCTTTTATTTGTGTAAATAAAAAAAAAACTCGTATACATTGCATTGTTTAGAACTATGTGAATCGAAAAAGGTACCGTTCTTCGAGTTAAACTCATATCATATGAATCTCTTTATATCGAATTTATCCGCTTCCTATTAACTTTTGTACTGAAACACGTTCAAATCGATTTAGAGGCTTTGCTCTCATTACATAATAAACAGAAATGTCACGTGTTAATAAAACGAGACCTGAACATATGAAAGAGAATAAATTTTCATATCCCCTTAAAAGCATGGAGAATCGTCACGCGTTGGCAGACCAACGCATGAGTAGGGTGGACCTTTCGCTCCTGTTTTTCGGAATCGAACCGTACCAAAGCTACAGGGCTTTGCACGTGTAAGATTCATGAGAACCAACCAGTTTGAGTTTGCTTGCCTTGCATGAAGATGACCGATCTTCAGGTCGGAGAGCGGAAAGCTGAAATGGATTCTGATGGCTGAAATGTCGGATCGTATTCCCTGGTTGAGGAGTTGGCGTCCCCATCGTTTTCTTGCTGCACAAATAAAACTCTCTCTCTCTAGGGTTTTCTTTTGTCTGTTGTTGTTCAATGACGAAAGCAAAGCAAGTTAAAGCCAACAACGTTTAATTACATGTTCCGCAGCCGGCCAATGATTTTATCAAACAATTCGTTGCTGCGTTTTCCAAAGGATGGTTTAAAGCGAAATATTTTTTTCTTTATGATGGTGTTACTGGACACGTTATATATAGGGGAATCCCCCAATTCTGTTGGTTTGAGAGTCCACTTCCTGTAAACGAGATCGTGGGTTCAACATCCAGAGTATGGAGATTCCCCTCCTGCCACCTTCGGGTGTTTCACATCCCACGTGTGTGTTGTAGGGTCGTGCGCGTGGGTCGGGATTAGTCTGGACCTTTGGGTTTGGGATCACACGATTATCAATATATATATATATATTAACCATTTCAGAAGCTTTCAAGAGCTCCGGGTGATAGTTGACATTGGCCTTATCGAACATACACAATCTGCTATTTGTCAACATTCAAAATGATGATAAATGACAAGTTTATCCAAAATGCAAATGAATCGCATAAACTGATTCTCCAAACGAATTCGCAAATATTTTACGTAAAAATCGTTCTCCCATCGTGTGTTACTACACACCAAATGATTCGTACGTGTGTAGATTTATTTGCTTTCTACCATACACGTGCGCGTTACACTCTCACACGCTTATATTATATTCACATTTTTTATTTTCATTTCGTGCTGGCACAAAGAAATTCAATATTGTAGAAAGAAACGTAATACATTCGCTCCTTAGAATTGATACGTGCTACGGAGTCTCGCCGTCGCAAATTGCGACAACGTAGCGACTCGTCACACTTTGCGAGAGCCCGATACCCACGGTTTCGGTTCCGTCATAATCCGTCGAAAAGCTCTTTTTGCGACGGCATTCCCTTCATGTCGCGACTGTTGTTTCCGTCGCATTAGCCGGCGCTTTTTGCGGCGAATATAGTTTCTGAATCTTTGTTTCAATAAGCTGAAGTTATCCAAAATTAATCACAAGTTCACAATCACAGCATGGGGAACTAACCATTGGGTCATTAATAAGGTTTAGGTTCTAACTCAACCACAAAAACTAGCTTAAGAGTAGAGGTTTGACTCTTATTTATATATTGATCCAAATCCCTCTCATTTTCCAATGTGGGACACTTATCAGTCGTTCCCTCTAATATACCAACTCGTGTAAAAACAGAAATGATATATCAATCACAAAAATACACTATATATAATTTTACCAAAATACACTATATATAATCACACACACACACAAGTATTATACCAAGTTAAATCTTAATCATGAAACCTGACTAGGTTTTTTTTGTGTGTGTGTCAAAACTCTTCATCGCACTCTTCTCTTGGTAAAAGTCAGTCCATCAAGTTTCTCGCCATGTATGTACCCATCAAGAGCACCGAAATTCAGACATGTATGTACATTTCATCCTATTTACGTCCGTCCTGCAAAAGACGAAGCATGACCTCGTACGTCGATGTCAGGCCTCGAACCAATATTCTCACAATCGGAAGAACAATAAGGTCAGGCGAGTCGATGCATGCATTCGATGCAAAAACCGAAGAAATTAAGATAAAAAGGCCCTAGAGATCGATTTTAGTTTGTGCACCAAAAGTGGTTGGGATTAAGGCAAGTGACCCTTTGTCTGATCGGCGGTGTTGTTGAACACGAAACCATCCGTGTGAGAAGATTTCATTGGGAACAGGGAAAAATCATCTTCGAGATCGATCAAACCCTCCAGATCAAAGTAAGTGTTTGAATTCGAACACTCACCTGATGGCCATTCTTCCTTCACAGCGCCTTTCGCTAGCAAACCGGAAAAACCTGTAAGCCTGTTGACTTGATCGTTGTGATCAGCGGTTGAATCTTGGTTTGCGATAACCGGATTTTCCGGTCTGGCCCTCTTTCTACCGGTTTTGGCGGCCTCGGCGGCTTGTTTTCCGGTGAGACTCTGGACAAGGGCTCGGAAGTTGTTGACGTCGGTCTTGATAATCTCCGGTGCAAATATATGTATTATACGAATCTTGGGCTTGATTTTGGTTATTACATGAGAGTTCCTGTTCATGGAAACCCTAGAATTCGGGGCTCCAATGCTTTGATGAGGAAGACGAAGATCGAAGCAAGGTTTCATCGAATCTCTCACCATTCAAATTAAACAAAAAAATTATGGATAATGTGAAGATATGATATTTCTTCTGCGGTTTAAACAAATGTATATATCATATGGTTACTGTGGCGGTTGAGAAGAATCTGTATATATATACATTGATTTGGTGGATATATTTATGCACTAAAATATAAGACTGTTGGTTTGTCAACCACATTAATTAACTACAAACTGAACACGAAATCAATAAGAAATTATAATAAGTAATAGCGGTCCATAGACCTGCCCTCCATAATACATAGCAACTAGCTTTAATATATATATATCCAAAAGAAAATTCCGACATATTTCTCAAATTAAATATCTAATTAAGGAGCCAAACGCATGCTAGTTTTATCATTCAGCATAAAAATAAAAATAAAATACAGGATTTGTATATTACACATTATTGCAAAGTTTATAGATTATATTTTTATTGTAATTTCATAAAGTTTTAACCAATAAATTAAAAATAAAAAAATAAAAAATAAACTAAGTTTTTTCACTCAAAACACGAAATCAGGCTAGACATTCAGCGAGGTTGACCTTTCACCTTACATTGGCAGCGTATCTCGTTTGAATGAGGGCATGTTTCATCATATGTATACGTGGCTTGTGACAATTGTTTACCTTATTGTACAAACACAAATTAATCTACATTAATTTAAATTAACCAACTGTTATCGTTTTCGTAATCAAAATTTATTAATCACATTAGCGTCAATCATATTAAAGAAAATATTTTCGTTTACATCATCTTTTCTGTAGCCAATTAATTGGAAGTTTCAAATATTAATTCCGAGGGACAGACACACGGACAGATTCCTAACAGAATCCTCTTTCTTGGTAAAAGAGTCATTTACAAAAATACAGTAAAATATCATCTTGTATATGTAACTTAAAACGATACATGCACATCCACACATGAAACATACTATATGTTTGTACATATATATATATATATATATATATATATATATGCATAAATGAAGTATTATATATCCAGTAGGAAAAAATACAAATGATCTCTTGATTATACCGGCCGTCAAAACTTAAAATGAAATCAGAGACGAACGGGACAGAGATTCGTCTCACGTGATATGTGCTCTGCGCACGTGGATCGCACTTCAACAACACACGATAAATACATAATGTAATTAAATTAGACAAATCATATATATGTCGAATACTATATAAGAATACCAAGAACATATATATAATGAATGGAGGGAAAATGTGTCCAAATTCCATCAAATCAGAATTTCTAATAGGAAAAAATTAAATTTGAATGCATTAGTAAGTAATTATTTTCTTTGTCAAATCTTTATAAATAACACAAACTTGGGTAGTTCAATTGGTGAATTGAATGTGTAGAGCGTCTGTCTCGTTCCGAATTCGAACTCAAGTTTGGAGGGAAAACGTATAATCCAAATCGTATGGTTGATTTCTGCGTGAGGGTCTTGGTCCAAAATATCCGATTATCAAAAAAAAATCTTCATAAATAAATAAAAAACCGACTCAATCCTTACATTGCTTAAGTATCATTATGGTCTGCATGTCATTTTCAACTTAAACTCAAAGTGGTCGTGCTTTCCTTCTTGTATGAGTGTGTATGTTATACCATATATATATACACACACACTACATTTACACTTACAGACAGATATATGTCGTCATGCGATTAGAAAATACAGAAATTCAGACACACGAAGGAGTTGATTTTTAAAAATGATATATATATATATATATATATATATATATATATACACAAGTGTTTTTTTTTTATTTAAAAAAAAAACTCTCCGACTTGAGTTGCCCATGAGGCAAACAAGAGTGACAGAGTGGAGTTAAGCATTAGGTATGCGTTGACTTTCTTAAAATACTCGCAAAAATATTATCGTCGTATTATTATCAACATACATATATAAATAACTTTTCATTAAATGAAAATACAGACGCATTATCCGAAATTTGGCTAAAAGTAGAATTATTTTGTACGAAATCAGAGTTATCTGTTATATTCTAAGTTTTTATTTGATTAGGTTCGTAGTTTCTTTTGCATATATTTTTAGCTTCCAATCACAAAATTAATCATTTCGAATATTTGGATATTGGATTCTTTCTATTTCTGTCGACTTTATATGTTTCAATTCTGAACATCAAAACAAAGATTAAAAGATTCGTAAATAAACAGAAACAAATATTTCCGATTATTTTCATTCATCCATGAAATGTAAGTATCTCTACCAAATTATTTTCTACAGAAACCTCCATAATTAATCGTTGTTTTCTTTAATTGTTAACATTCGCTCCAAAGCCTGATTAAATAATAATTATGTTAGAATATTGTTTGATTTGGACCCCGTTAATTATCCACACATACTGGCCGTTGTTCTTACGCAGAAGTCAGACAGATGGGGTTATTTCCCAAATTCATAATCATTTTAATATTTTCACCATTATGGTCAAACTCAATTGATTGGACTACATTTATAACTTAATTTAATATTTTGCGTGTTAGGTTATATAAATTCGGAGAGATATGAACGTTTTGAGGCTTAGACGAGCCAAATAAAAAATATTGTAATAATTTTTTTTTTAACTTTGTTAGGTGGTCTCCAAGAGAGTGATTTAAAACGGCTGGGTTCGTACTAGAATCGGACCAGTTGGTTACGAACAAGCTTATTTTTAGTCCAATTCGTTAAGTCCGTTTTTATTCGGACAAAAAAATTCATGGTTCGACTCAAGTCGTTTTACCTCGTAAACCGGTTCACAAACCAAATAAAAGTAAAAATAAAAATAAAAAATAAAATTTTTAAAATAATAAAAATATTTTAAACTGATAAATCTTTTTTAAAATTATTAAAAATATTAAAAAATTAAAATAAATTTTTTTTCTTGACTCGTGAGCTAGCTTGAGACTTGCCAACCTGGCTCGCGACGAGTTCGGCTCGTGACGAACTAGTTCGTTTGGCTTTTTTTTTACTCAAATTTTCTAAATCCATATCAAACGAACCTAGATCGTTTTGACATTACTACCATGAAATATAATCTCCCTTTATTAGAGAAAAATAAATCATATCATCATTAATGCGCAGAGTTTTCCAATATGCCATAGATAGATTACTTGGATTTCTTTGCCAGAATATTCTAATTTTTTTTAGTAATAAATTTCCCAGGGGAAAAAAATATTTGTGCAATATCGTAATTGTTTTTTTTTTAATTTTTTTTTTCCTTTCTGATTCCATCCAAAGGAAATAACCATAGTTTGTTTTTTTTCCACAACCATAGTATGTTTTTAATTAAGAATTACTAGTATGACGGGTTATTTGCCTCATATTGTATACATGTATATGTATATATATTCAATATAGCCAATAATCTCTAATGTACTGATAAACCGAGAACCATGTTGGTACAAAGATTCGGTTATTGCACATGGGCCCAATGGGCCGGCTCAGACCCAGGAGCCCAAGGTGGTGGTCAAAGCCGCAGAAAATGGTGGCTAGGCCTAGTCGTGGAGATTATCAGAAAAAGCAATCACCAGATAATCTATGACGCGATCAGTTGAAGATTGAAGATGGTAAGAGCCAAAATTCGACCACACCCAGAAGCGCAAAGCGACAGGACAGTACAAATTCCCAGATTATCTTCCTACTTGTCTGTTCGGATTGTCTGAATTTTTTGCAACAATGCTGGACTCGGGAATCCTTTTTATGAGACAACGGTGGCGTCTTCAAACGAGAAAGAGACGATCTGTTGGATCATTTTTGTGCAAGGATCCGAGTTTATCGCTGCAGGCTCTGCCTTCAATGGGAATGTTCTTTTACCTCTGAAATTCTTGTGAGTAAACCTCTTGTTTCAAGGAGTTGATTGTTTCTGGGAGCGAAAGTTTCTTCTTCTCCGATTCTAGGTATGAAAAGTTCTTGCCCTTGATATTTCCTCCTCTCTTTCCTGAGTTTGAAAAAGTTCCCCCTTCATTTTGTGATGACTGTTTATGCTATGTTTCGGGAGAATGCAAGCTTCTGATGGGTCCTTCATCTAAAATTCTTGAAGCGATTGAGAAATGACGCCGGCAGTCACGGTCAGTGGGATTGTAGAGGATCCCCTCACCGAACCCATTGGAAGATGGCATGTGTTCTTCTATGGAGTTGGGCATATGCTTAACGATATTACTGCTTCGTGTTGGTTTACGCATCCCCTCTTGCTCTTGACTCGAATCGGTCTCTCCCCGGCGTGAGTTCAGCTGATTTCATCATTTGATCTTGATATGGTTCTTGCATGATTTGTGAATTTATATGAACTTGAAATATAAACACAGGGATGGAACATGGCTTGTTGATCCATGTTTTGATTGGAAAGGATTGATATGTTGCAGGCACCAAGTGTCCAATGAAATGGTGATAAGTTATGATACTTTTCGGTGACAAAATAAGGATTAGGCCTTGTCCCATCGCTGTGCATTGTTATCTTGTTGGTGTTTGTGTAACAATGGACTACGAATATCCAAAACACGATTACGAAGCCTCTGCTTGAATCCCTTCTAGAATGACAAAACATAAGTTGTTAACGGCTCGAGAGAAAGATGAATATGCTTCTGATTTGTTATAGAATGATTGTTTGATAAATATCTTTTTTTTTTCTCTTCTAATTTGTTATACTGGATAGTTTATTTAGAACTTCTTTATCCATAATCATGGATGATTTCGTGCATAAGGAATTCTGAAAGGCAATGGAAAATCGATCTCTTTTTTGTGTAATCTTGAACTCTTTTCAAATCTGTCTTCCCCGCAAGACATGCTTCCTCAGACCGGGAAGATGAACATTCATGATGTAATGCTCCCAATCTGTTCTTCCCGTGTTGAACTCAAACATGCTTCTCTCTTCCATTGTCATCTCCTCCAACAGTCTCTGGGCATTGGTGTTGTCAAATCTAGTGCCAATATGAGTGAAAAGCCTTTATATTCTCATTTTCATTGCTTAGATTTTACGCAAAAGAAAACTAGGATGCTTACCGCGCTTTTGTGAACAATACCGTCTCGTATGTTTTGGCCATGCCTTCGAGATACTTTATTTTCCTCTCGCATTTCATCTTTGATTCGGCGCGTAGTTCTCCATCTTTTGTCATTTCTTTTTCAGTTATGGTGTTGGATATGTAGGAGGAGAAATCCTCCAAGGAACTGTGAAATGTAAATGGCTCTATCGTTATGTCCTCCCCTTTGGAGTCCTTCAATGGAGAGCAACAGAAATGTCGATAAACGAGGTTGCAGAGCTCGAAAAGCAGTAATGGAGTCACAACAGACGAAGTGGAATGGTACACATTCAGCCCGGGCTTGGCTTCTATGCCATGCTTTGCCATGGCTGCCATTGCTGTGTTCACAACCATATCCACAGGTACCTGCTCTCCAGATCTTATCATTAGTTAAAATTCAGACACCACTGCATGTTCTCATGCATTTTGATAGGCATATGATCACAGTTAAAAACGGTGGTTGGGTGAATATGTAACACAGACTGATCCAAAGAATTAAAAGGTGTGTGGAAAGAAGAGGGTTGTGACTTACAATGTCAATGACAGTTTGAGGGTCACCCAACAAGCCAGAGAGATGCCCTTTGCCGTAAGCCAAGATCAATGGTTCCGCCATTCTGATAGCAAAAGATTAGGCCTTTAATCTTCTTCGATATGTATCATTTGATGGAGAAAACGAAAAAAAAAAGGAAGGAAAGACTTTACCTGTTTCCTTGCATCCAGCCGGGGAAAGGTTCTATATAAGAGCTTTCAACGACACCTGGCCGAATGATCACAACAGGCACATCCCCTCGGGAGCTGTCTATCACCATCTCCCCCATTGCTTTGGTGAAAGTGTAGGTGTTTTGGTACCCATGGATTGTGGCTCTGGCTTTGATAAATGCAAGTTAGCCTTTAAAGATGCATTGAAGTTACAGAAATTGGTCTATGATGTGCAGGAGTGGGATATGAGAAAGGACGCCCTCACCGTTCACGACCAAGTTCCTTCATTTTCTGGGCCATTTCTCGGTGATGGAAAGTTCTTGCAGCTTCTGAAGCTAGTTTCAGCTCGGATTCAATTTCCAATCTTGGAAGAGGAGTCTCTGGTACTATCCCTTGTCTCGTTCCATTCACATAAGCTATAAACAGAAGATGAATGATGTAAAAGGTTTAGAATCTCTTCCTCTAAGGTGTTCCAACAAACACGTGTTTGGTCCTTAAAACTCGTACCGGTTGAGAAGTGAAGAACAAGATTCAGTCTCTCGCATTTCTTGGAAAATCTCATGAACTGGTGGGGTCCCATTGTATTGGTGCCCAGAGCCAAATCGTACCTGTTCCGTTTGTTTACACAAGCCCAGGTCATTATTTGTGGTTGACGAACGTTGCATGTAAAAGAACAAAGGGGCAAACATGCAGATAAGGAACCTGTCGTCGAAGGTTGTTCTGGCAGCAGAGCTGATGATGACGTCTATCTCCTTGAAGATCATGTCGGCTGTTTCAGAGTCCATTCCGAGATTGTTCTGTGAAATGTCTCCCACTACTGGAATCAACTTACTTGTCATAAAGGCTTCATAGGAATCCCCATGTGTTTGTTTCAGAAGCTCGAACAGGTCAGAGTTTATGATCTGAGAACGCGAGTGAACAAAATATAAGGGAATTTTTTAGGTAAAAAAAAACTTTTGACGTGAAGATGTGTCAAAATTTGCGGAATAAAGCGTTGCATTGTTCAATCAACCAAATAACATATATATAGACTTGAGAATAGACCTAATTCTAGTAAGAAACTAAATAACGAAAATATATCTATAGTGAAAATATATCTAGATAAAGTATGAGATTTGATAAGTATATATCACTAACAAGATGGAAAATGTGCGGAAGAAAAAAAACCTCGTCGTGGAGTCTCTTGCGGGCAGCTTGTTGATCATCGGCCTTCATCAGAAGGAAGATCTTCCCTGTCTCTGGAGTTGCTCTCAACAATTTCTCGATGAAAACTGCGATTTTGAGTCGGAGATTCGAGTGGTAGAAGAGCTATTATATGTTTTATGGAAGTGAAAGAACGTAGATGCGTAACGTAGATATTATGGTATTTTATTACAAAATATTATGTGCATACTTTAGCGTTTTGGAGTTATTCTTGTCGTTAAAACCCTATACTTAGCCATAAGCTTTCTAAAGAACGAATGAATCGCTACTGAGATACCTTTGGCAAGAAACCCTGTTGCTCCGGTGATGAAATAGTTCTTCCCCTTCATGAAACTCACGATTCTATTGCCGTCACACTTGTCTGTCGCTGGCATCACAGCTTCTGGGGTCTTGTCCTGATAACAAGCAGTAACTCCATGAGTTGACCGAGTAGTTGGCACCGGAAAACGACAGAAGTTGCGTTTTTTGGATGTAAAGAAACTGTCGTCGTAACCGCAGTTGAAGCCAAAAACGGCGGCGGTGCTGCTGCAATGGACGACCATTGTATTGGCTAAGGAATCCTTACACAGAGCTGAAGTATCGTATTTGGAGATATTTGGATATGATTAAATTCCCTTCTAATATATCGTTTGTTTCCTCATTTCCATTTATATAGAGGGCACAATCTTCTTTAGTTCTGTATGTCTTGTCGATTTACAGTTAGTCTGCATTGGTTGCATTCTATGATTCCTCGTGTTTCTAATGGTTTGCATGCATTAGGGTTAACGTGGTTCTAGAAAATTTCCATGGATGGGAGCATGAAGCAAAGACGCAAGCAGTTAAGGAGAGCGCTCGTTCTCCGACACCCTTTCACAAATCATGTGAATAGAATCTTTTACACGTGTTTCGAAATTGTAACATCTTAACGATGTTTCAGACTTCCACCTTAACTGTTAATGTTTTGTTGAAATTCAGTTGTGACACTTTGTGATGCGCAGCGCAGGAGAATTATTGGTTGTGGTGGCTATTCGATTAGTCATTGTAAGGGTTGAATGGCTATTGTAAACTTTTGGGAAATGAAAATCAAAATCTTTGACCAAAAAAATAAAATAAAATGGACAGACGCAACGATTTGTTCTTTTGCATGCTGTTGAAATATAGAAATTAAAATAAAGAGAAGAAAAATGATAATAGTTTGGATATATTCTCTAAACATGTATTCACTTTTAGAAAAAAAAAAATATATTTTCCCGTCTCTAACTAAATAGATGAGATATTTAGAATAAGTTTTTGAAATTAAAAAAAGATTTAATGATATTTTTTTGTTAGAATAATTCCATTAAAAATTTTGTATTTTTCTCTCGTCGCAATTTTTAACCATGTATTTTTTTATCCTATTAAACATATTTATAATATCTAACAATAAAATACCTGTACTTTTAAAAAAATTGGCAAATAAAACTATAAATGTAAAAATTGACTATTCAACGCTGACATGACAATAATTTTATTATAGTCATCCACCACATCATCAATCATATAATATTTAATAAAAATATAATAAAAGAATAAAAATTACTTATATATATACATATATATATACGCATATACATATATACATATATTATATGTATATACATAAATATTATATATGTATGTATTTAATTTTTCTTCAACATAATTCTTAATATAACTCTTAATATTTATTTATTTCAGTTAATTAATTAAAAGGAAATAACTTCTCTAGTTATGACGTTTTATATAAAATTACTCCTACGTAACCTTTTACTTAAATTAAAAAATAATTTTAGTTATATACATATATTAATTTAAATTGAATTTAAATAACAGCTATTCAGTATATTAATTAAATTTAAATAATATATCTAAAGGCATATCTTTTTAATTAAAATTTAAATAATATAATCATATCAAATTTGTATAGTCGGAGTTGTCATATATAATATTTTTTAATTTATTTCATGATCTGGTATATAGTAGACATCCGAAATTATACAAATTATGCATGGATCAAACACATTAATCATATCATGATGTAACTGTGTGAAGAGATTGTGGACCACCGTATATCTGATGACACATTTATTTGTTGTAACCAATTTGGTTTTAAATCGTATGGTATATCATACCAACAATCTTTCTCATTAATAATTTGTTGGACACTAATAAAAATACGGAAAACGACAAAAAAGTGTGACCAAATGAAAAATTTTGTAAACCTTTCAAAAGGGTCATGCTTTTGGTCACTTTTTTTTTTCATTAACAAAGATAGCGTTATTAATTCCGTTTGTAACCTGACCTATATATGTGTAAATGTATGTTTAAATTTTTGAATGTATGCATGCATGTGTATGTATATATACATATATACCTACGTATGTATGTGTATATATACACACACATATATATTATGTATATAGCTATGTCTGCGTACATATGTATGTGTATTTGTATGCATATATATACACAAGTCAAATTGTAGGATCTTGTTGTTGTCATTACCAATAATCAGACATTAATCCGTAGTTTCAATCTCTAAAACGTAATGGAAGATGAATCTCTTTCTGTGTATATAATCTTGAACTCTTTTCAAGTCTGTCTTCCCCGCAGGACATGCTTCTTCAGACCCGGAATATGAACGTTCATGATGTAATGCGGCCAATCTATGCTCTCTGTGTTGAACCCAAACATGCTTCTCTCTTCCATTGCCATCTCCTCCACCAATCTCCGGGCATTGGTGTTGTCAAACCTAGTGCCAAGGATGAGTTAAAAGGATGCATGACTATGTATATCTCAGATTCTATATATCGGGATGGGTACCGTGCTTTTGTGAACGTTACTGGCTCATACGCTTTGGCTATGCCCTCGAAATACTTTATTTTTCTCTGGCTTTTCGTTTTTGATTTGGTTCTGATGTACGAGCAGAAATCTTCCAGGGAACTGTGGAATTTCATCGGCTCTGTCACTATGTCCTCTCCTTTGGAATCCCTCAATGGAGAGTGACAGAAATGTCGATGAACAAGGTCAAAGAGCTCGTGAAGCGGCAGCGGATTCGCAACAGACGAGGTTGGATGGTACACGCTCAGCCCGGGCTTCGGATCTATGCCATGTTTTGCCATGGCTGCCATTGCAAAATTCACAACCATATCCACTGGTACCTGCACCAGTTAGAACTCAGATCCCATTGCATATTACTTTATTCTCGTATTTACATTTTGGCTACTTACTACATCAACCACGGTTTGAGGGTCGCCGAACAAGCACGGGAGCTGCCCTTTGCCATAAGCCAAGATCAATGGATCCGCCATTCTGGCAGCAAAATAGAGAAATTTTAATCTTGTTCACTAGAAGGTGTTATCCTTATTTGTATCATTTCACGGGAGAAAAAGGAAAAGGAAAGATTTTAACCGGTTTCCTTGTATCCAGCCGGGGAAAGGCTCTGTGTAGGAGCTTTCAATGGCACCTGGTCGTATGATCACAATGGGAAGATTGCCTCGGGAGCTATCTATCACCATCTCCCCCATTGCTTTGGCCAAAGTGTATGTGTCTTGAAACCCGTGGATGATGGCTCTGGTTTCGTTAAAGATTTGACATGCAACTTAGCCTATGAAGATGCATCCAAGCTACAGAAAATCGGTCTGCGATAGGAGAAAAAGATAACCTCACCGTTCACGACCAAGTTCCTTCATTTTCTGGGCCATTTCTCGGTGATGGAAAGTTCTTGCAGCTTCTGAAGCTAGTTTCAGCTCGGATTCAATTTCCAATCTTGGAAGAGGAGTCTCTGGTACGATCCCTTGTCTCGTTCCATTCACATAAGCTATAAACAGAAGATGAATGACGTAAAAGGTTTAGAATCTCTTCCTCTAAGGTGTTCCAACAAACACGTGTTCGGTCCGTAAACTCATACCGGTTGAGAAGTGAAGAACAAGAGTCAATCTCTCGCATTTCTTGGAAAATCTCATGAACTGGTGGGGTCCCATTGTATTGGTGCTCAGAGCCAAATCGTACCTGTTCCGTTTGTTTACACAAGCCCAGTTCATTATTTGTGTTGACGAACGTTGCATGTAAAAAGAGCAAAGGGGGCGAAAATGCAGATGAAGGATAAAGGAACCGGTCGTCGAAGGTTGTCCTGGCGGCAGAGCTGATGATGACATCGATCTCCTTGGAGATACTGTCGGCTGTTTCAGGGTCCATCCCGAGGTTGTTTTGTGAAATGTCTCCCACTATCGGAATCAACTTGCTCGTCATAAAAGCTTCGTATGAGTTCCCATGTGTTCGTTTCAGAAGCTCAAACAGGTCAGAGTTTATGATCTGAAAACCAAAGCGAGCATGAAAACGGTGATATGACAACTGTTGGCAGAGCATGCCCAGATGGCTCAAGACATGCAGAAGCTCGTGTGGAAGATTGAAGTTTCAGATCAGATTAAATGCAGTTATTAGAAGTTAACGTTGTCAGTTTAAGAACAGTTACTAAGCAGTTGTAACGATGTTGTAATGTGTGTTTATATGCAATTGCAGAAGTTAAATAGAGTGTGGTTTTTACACAATAATCTCCCCTGTTTTCTCATTCCCAAACCGAAACTTAAGTTTGAGAATTGCAAAACACGATCTAGAGTTACAGGTTTGGTAAGCTTCAATAACAGACCTCGTCGTGGAGCCTCTTGCGGGCAGCTTCTTGATCATCAGCCTTCACCAGAAGGAAGATCTTCCCGGTCTCTGGAGTTGCTCTCAACAATTTCTCGATGAAAACTGTGATTTCAAGTCGAAGATTTGAGTGATAGAAGAGATTATATGTTTTATGGAAGTGAAAGAACTCTCAACAAAAGCTAGAAGAGCTCTTACACGTTTTATGGAAGTGGGAGAGATATTATGAAACTCTAGAATAAATCGCAACTGAGATACCTTTGGCAAGAAACCCTGTTGCTCCGGTGATGAAATAGTTCTTCCCCTTCATGAAACTGACGACTCTATTGCCATCACACTTCTCTGCCTCTGACATCACAGCTTCTGGGGTCTTGTCCTGACGGCAAGTGATAACTCCACGAGCTGACCCACCAGTTCGCTTTGAAAAACGACACAAGTAGCTGTTTGGTTTGGAGGGGAAGATGCTGTCGTGAGCGAAGCTGAAGCCAGAAACAACGGTGGTGCAATGGAAGGCGGCCATTAACGTGTTGGAGAAGGAAGAAGGCTTGAAGAGTTTTAAGTATATTGTCTGTTTGCTTATGTTATCATATTGGGTTAAATAAAAGTGAAGGGTTTAGAGAGGGAAGACTGCATTCATTAGAGGATGCCACGTGTCCTTACACCCGGAATTACAGCGGCTGTCCATCTATGGAGTACTGCGGCGTTCCGTCAGTCCTCGTGTTTCTTACGGACCGCATGTATTTAGACTTCAAGAGTTTTGACTGAGTTCGAACATATTTTTTCTTATCGTCTATGTTAATTATTTTAATCCTTATCCGACTATACGGAGTATCAACATTTCAAACCTGATCTTATATCTACTAAAACAAATAAGGACATTCTTTAATTTTAATAAATATATGAATTATTTTTCAAAATATGAAAGATATTTTCGTAATTAAAATATAACACGCCATTTTTAATAAATATAAATGATAATTTTATAATTATATCGAGTATAAGCAATGTGACCGTAAATTCAAATCCAATTTGGTTTACTCATAATTTTAAAATGAAATGTTTACACATATTTTGTATGTATTAGATAAGGGTGATCATTTTGATTATTAACCGAATAACTAAATCGTACCGAACTGAATAGCAATGGTTCGGTTCGCTTTTAATAACCAATCGATTGAGAAAGTTAATCATTAGGATTCAATTCGGTTCGATTAATAATCGAATAATCGTTGTTAACCGAATGGTTATTAGGTTTTATTTAATTTTAAAATTTTTATCTTAAGTATCTAAGTGTTTTTTCACTTTTTGGTAGAATGTATGTCTTTGATATATTTTTATTCATTACTATATTTTTATTAAATTATTATTTCATAATTAATTTTCCTTTTTTTGCTGTATAAAATTTTAAAGGGTCACCCCTAGTATTTGAGTTTCTTTGAGATGGATTGTTGTCCCTAGGGATGTTTATTTTGATATTTGATTTGATTTTTTTTTTAAAAATTATACTCATCCAATTTTATTTTAGATTTGGCTCGAATTTGATTTTTTATTAACAATTTTATTCATTTTATTTAAAAAAAGTATATTTTTTTCGATTTTTATTTATAAAATTACTAATTTTTCAAAAATTATTATCTCTTTTTGGATTATTTTTTGCATTCTTAATCTAAAATATGTACATTCAATTTTTTATATTAAATTCGGTTTATATATAACTTTGTATTTAGATCGGTTAGGTTGCAAAGTGTGTGTGTTTTTTTTTTGTTCAGATCACCAAACGGAATTGGCAATCGGGAGAGGAAACGAAATCAGAGCCGTTCGTCCAAGAAGCACGAGGGATTACGATCCCGACACGTGGATTACAAGACTACCCCGAAGGTAAATAGAAGTATATGGGCCTTATCTTGTCCTCGTTTGCTATTAACATATGTGATATATGGTATATATATGGTGACCAACACCAAGCTTTAGAATGGCTGTTTCATAAATATTTTTGTTTATTACATGTTTCACTTTAAATTCTTTTCTTGCAAACCATGCCCACGGCGGTTTTGCGCATAGAGGGTTTATGGAAAGTCAATATCTTTCTGTGTAATCTTGAACTCCTTTCAAGTCTGTCTTCCCCGCAGGACATGCTTCTTCAGACCCGGAATATGAACGTTCATGATGTAATGCTCCCAATCTATGCTCTCTGTGTTGAACCCAAACATCCTTCTCTCTTCCATTGTCATCTCCTCCATCAATCTCCGAGCATTGGTGTTGTCATACCTAACAGAAGTATGAATCAAGCACGCATCTTCTCATCATCATATCTCAAGTTTTACGCTGAAGAAAACTAGGAAGTTGTTGGTGTTGGTCTGATGAATCAAGAAAAGAATTGATGGCTGATATTTCGAGAAGACAAGCTCAAGGACTGAAGTTGGAATTTATGTTCGATTTTATTACAGTTGTTAAAGATAAGAAGATGTTGTTGGAATAAATGTGATTCAAGGCCACGTCACATGAGTTGGAGACAAATTGTTAATTCAAATGCGTGATTCAAGGCTGAAAAGGATCAGTTTCCAGATTCTGTCAAAATCTGGCACTATTATATATTTTCTATTTTTCTTTGCAAGATTAGGATATTCTGATTTGATTTGATTTAGCTAGCAGATTTAGAGGTTGATTTGATTTTATTTCTATTATTAAGTTTTTGTTTTCTTTCCTATATATGTAATCGTTTTCTGTTGAATAAAATTAGTTGAGTTTTCTCAAATTTCTTTGTTCTCTGTTTGTATTTCTGTAACAGAGTTTCTGTTCGAATTTGAGTACTCACTCACCCAGACCGAAGTACCACTGATCCTTATCTCGGGTCTAACAGTGGTATCAGAGCGCCGTTGATTCGTTAGGGATCTAAGGGTTATCAAGCTGACGATGGATTCGAATTCTCCTCCAGTTTTCGATGGAGAAAACTACCAGATGTGGGCTGTGAAGATGAAGGCATACATGAAGGGTGCAGATATGTAGGAAGCTGTCGAAGAAGATTACGAGGTGACTCCTTTAGGAGCAAATCCGACGCTGAACCAGATGAAGATCTATAGAGATAAGGTAACGAGGAAAGGTAAGGCTATGTCATGCCTCTTTGCCTCGGTACCACCATTTATCTTTACTAAGATCATGAACATGACCAATGCGAAGGAGATGTGGGATTCTCTGAAAGAAGAGTATGAAGGAGATGAGAAGATACGGGGCATGAAGGTTTTGAACCTGCTCCGGGAATTTGAGAGACATCATATGAAGCCAAACGAGACAGTAAAGGTTTATGTTGATCGTTTGATCAGCATTGTGAGCAAGATAAGGATCTTGGGTACTAAAATGACTGATGAGAAGATAGTTCAGAAGGTGATGGTGTCTGTTCCAGAGCGTTTTGAAGCAACCCTTGCTTCCTTGGAGAACACTAAGGAGTTGTCACAATTGAAACTACCTGAAGTTCTTAGTGCTCTGCAAGCGCAAGAGCAAAGAAGGCTGATGAGAAAGGAGGAGTCAGTTGAGGGAGCGTTGATGGCCAAGGCGAAAGCAAAGTGGCCAGAAAAGGAGAAACAGAATCAGAAAACGAAGATGGATGCTACTCATAGCAAGGTAACGTTTTCTAAATCTGAGAAAGATGCTGATCAATACTTCTCTGAACCTTGTAAGCATTGTCAAAAGATTGGTCATTCTCATTGGAGATGGTTGAGAAATCCCAACATCAAGTGTCGAGGGTGTGGTAAATCTGGGCACATTGAGCGTTTCTGTAGAAACGAGAATGCTCAGATCATTGTAGAAGATTCTGGAGAGGTTGAAGAAGAGGTTGAAGATCTGTTTATGGCATCGTGTTTTGGTTCTGGATCTGTCAAGTATGGATGGTTAGTGGATAGTGGTTGTACTAACCACATGACAAGAGATAGAAGCTCATTCAAGTGGATTAACACGATGTTCAAGGCGAAGGTCAGAATTGGAAATGGCGAGTTCATTTCAGTGGAGGGAAAAGGAGATGTCTGGATCAAAGGGTCAGATGGCACGAAGAAATTGCTGACAGGAGTGTTGTATGTGCCAAGGCTACTTCAGAATCTCCTAAGTGTACCTCAGCTGATGATTAAGGGCTACAAGGTAATTTTTGACAAGAATGAATGTGTTATTGGTAATGACACAACCCCTGTTCTATTTAGGATGCCTGTGAGAAACAAGAGGTTCTCATTTTCGATGAAAAATGTGGGATATGATGCATTTGTGAGTCAAGAGTCAAAAGATAAGCTCGTTGGAAAAACTGCAGAAGATGTGTCAAAGGCATATCAAGTAGATTTGCCTGAGATGAACAAGGAAGTAGTGAGCAAGGATGTCAAGTTTGTTGAGTCTGAAGGATTGAAATGGCAAGAATTCGGTGAGGATGAAGAGCCATTCACAAAAACCGAAGGGCCACTGACAATTGATGCTGAACCTCAAACTCAGCAAACTGAAAAACATGTGCAGAACACTGACGAGATTATGGAGGCTGAAGATGTTGAATCTGATGATGATGTTCCTGTCAGAGGTACAAGAACACTGCAGGAAGTTTATGGAAGATGCAATGTGGCTATTCTTGAGCCATCTAGTTATGAGGAGGCAAGAAACGATAAGAGTTGGAGAGATGCAATGAAGGAGGACTCAAGATGATAGAAAAGAGACAGATTTTTTGGATGAAGCTTACAAAATATGATGAGTTAAATCTGATTCGATATTCAGATAGTGAATGGGATGGTTTTGCAAATGATGTGAAAAGTATTGAAGAACAAGAAGAAGAACAAGAAGCAGTTTTGTTCATTAAGGGGTTGCATGATGGAAGGTTGGAGTTGTTAAGGAGCATGATCGAAGTGTGTGCGAGGCCTTTCGTCAAGGAGGAGATTGTTAGAATAAATGTGATTCAAGGCCACGTCACATGAGCTGGAGACAAATTGTTAATTCAAATGCGTGATTCAAGGCTGAAAATGATCAGTTTCCAGATTCTGTCAAAATCTGGCACTATTATATATTTCCTATTTTTCTTTGCAAGATTAGGATATTCTGATTTGATTTGATTTAGCTAACAGATTTAGAGGTTGATTTGATTTTATTTCTATTATTAAGTTTTTGTTTTCTTTCCTATATATGTAATCGTTTTCTGATGAATAAAATTAGTTGAGTTTTCTCAAATTTCTTTGTCAGAGTTTCTGTTCGAATTTGAGTGCTCACTCACCCAGACCGAAGTGCCACTGATCCTTATCTCAGGTCTAACAGATGCGGTTTTATGTTTACGTTTGTATGTCGTGTCGGTTACAAAGTGTGGTCTTTAAGTATAGGCATTGGTAGCTGCAAAATATTTATTTTCAATTTCAGATTCTTAGAGAGAAATTTTAAAAAATCAACATGGTATCAGAGCGAAGATGGATCTTTTTCGGATCTGTGGAAGATTTCAAAGAAAACAAGATGATGACAGGAAAAAAACGATAATTGGAGTTCGGTTTGGTAAGATGTTGTTGTGCGGAAATGTATATGGTCTCAAATGCAGGACGATAGAATCGAACGAGAGAAAGTAAAAGACACCACGATTTAACGTGGTTCGGCAGAATGCCTATGTCCACGTCGAGGAAGAAAAACAAATCCCACTATATCGGTGAACAAATGTGGAATACAAGATATACTCAACCTCATTTTCCAAATCCCCAAGAAACACCCTTTCTCTCGTAACACTCAGAAGAAAAATATTCAGAATGTATCCAAGAACCTCACTATGACAACCCAGAGTACCGTAGGAGGGCGGGGAGTGATCGCCGGTGCAGAGGCACGGACAAGGGGCGAATCCTGACGAGCTTCTGGGTAGGGGGTATATGGATGAATCGAACACACCGGAATGAGAGAGATCCGAGGGCTGTATAGGTATGGGACTATACGGTCTAAGATAACATAAAAGAATTAGTTGAGCTACTCATAGCAATAAGGTGCACCTACCTTTTTGGTTAACTATCCCGAGAAAACTCCAAAGTTAAGTGTGCTAGCTCTGGAGCAATCTCAGGATGGGTGACCTACTGGGAAGCACCTCGATATGCATGCGAGTGAGGACAAAACACGTTGAAATGTCTCGGGTTGCTGTGTGAGGGCAGTTTCGACAATTTGTAGCGGCCTCGGGTCGTTATAGATGGTATCAGAGCCGGTACTCTCCCAGTACGGTGTGGTTCGAGGACGATACAGGCGGAAGCTGGTGGGCCTATGACAACCCAGAGTACCGTAGGAGGGCAGAGAGTGATCGCCGGTGCAGAGGCACGGACAAGGGACGGCTCCTGACGAGCTTCTGGTAGGGGGTATAGGGATGAATCGAACACACCGGAATGAGAGAGATCCGAGGGCTGTATAGGTATGGGACTATACGGTCTAAGATAACATAAAAGAATTAGTTGAGCTACTCAAAGCAACAAGGTGCACCTACCTTTTTGGTTAACTATCCCGAGAGAACTCCAAAGTTAAGTGTGCTGGCTCTGGAGCAATCTCAGGATGGGTGACCTACTGGGAAGCGTCTCGGTATGCGTGCGAGTGAGGACAAAACATGCTGAAAGGTCTCGGATTGCTGTGTGAGGGCAGTTTCGACAATTCGTAGCGGCATCGGGTCGTTACACTCATCGAAACAAATATCTTGGATACCCAAAAGAAAAACCCTAAAAAAACCCTCAAAAGGACCCAAGAATTGAGTTTCTTGCAGAAGAAGAAAGCTTCTTCTCCAACACTTGTATGAATGTTTGTTTTGTGATGATTCGAACGAAGAATGAGGATGGCTATTTATAAGTGGAAGCAAGGTTGATATTGTGACTATTAAGAGAGGCCACGTTGCCATATATTTGAATGGCTCAAATTCCTCTCCAACCACCTCCATTATGCAAAGTTCTCACTAATTGGAGCCATCAATCACAAATGTTTTTGTTAAGGGAGGTGTTTTTCAATATAGTCAAATGTGTTTGTTTTTGGAAGAAAAAAAGAAGATAAACCGGAGGAGATTCGCGACTACGGACGGCGATGATTTCGGTGGCATCGAAGATTGCTGTAAGTTTGTTGGGTAACACATGTGTACACTCTAGATGGGGCAATTATGCGCTTGAGAAAATAGATTGTTACGGCAATCAAGAAGAACACGAAACTCCTAAGAGGGTCATCGAAGAATCGTGTGCAAATGGAGGAGGAGATCTGAAAAATCGGTTATACCTTAGTGGTGATGTTGTCTCTGTCATGATATACACGAGATGGGATGATGTTTCAAATTTTGAAGGTATTTCTAGGAACTGTTCTGGTTGTGTTTTAGTCTTGAAGGCATGGTGGTGGCGTGTCTATCACCGAAAAATGCGGTTGAATTGCCTCGGAGGATGACGTTGGAGTTATGCATGATTGTGGGCTGAGACTTGCGCCGTGTGCGAACCCTTGAGTTCAAGGAAGAGTTTGTTGGATTAGCTCAAGGCGGATGAAACAAGATCAGTTGAAGTTTATGTTCGGTTTTATTGCAATTATATATTTGAGTTATTAAAGATAAGAAAATGCAGTTTTATATTTTCGTTTTGTCTTTAAATATAGGTATTGATAGTTCCAGAAGATTTATTGTAGAGAGAGTTTTTTGCATTCCTATTCGATATAGATGTTGTGTTGTTGTATTTGTGTATGTGTTGTATTGTAAGTTTGAGTATCGTATGTGAGTGATGAGTGGATGAATAAATGTAGAAAAGTTTGTGAGAAAATATATTTCAGTGTGGTTTTAAAAAATATTAAATGTGATTAATATGCAACATTAGTACAAATATTATTTAATTGTAGTTTGATGTGATAGTTAGAAATATGAATAATATGTATAGTAGTTATGATGGAAAATTGGTAAACAAATGTGTAAAATAAATGAATTAGGTGTGATTTGTAATATAGATAGGTATCATTGTATGAAGTTTGAAATTAAAAAAAAAAATTGAAGAGAAAAATCAAGAGAAAGATTAAGAAAACATTTATTCTTTCAAAAAATTTCAAGGCTTTTTTTTTTTATAACGGAGGAGTCCTAGCTGTTGCCATTCGGACGTGCTGACTAGATAAATCTCTGGCTCGTGAGCAGCTTTTGTATATGGATCATATAAACCCAAAAATTACCTCCCTCCCCACCAGTCAGGAATCGAATACTCAAACTCAAGGTGGAGTTACCTCCTACCCCAAACTTGACCACTCACCCGCGATCTGTTGGGTAAAAAAAAAATTTTAAGTTCTTTTTTCCTCCAAAATTTTTCACATTTTCTTCTTTAATCAAAGAAATTGGTATCCGAACCTATTTTTTAAAAATTTCGAAAACAAAAACTTGAGAGATTAAAGAGAATTGTGAAAAGTAACAGTGGTAACGGACCTTTAATTCCCCATCCGACAAAGATAAACTATGAAAAATGATGTTTACGCATGGATATTTTGGTTGATTACAATAAAATTTGAGAAATTGTGGAGAAATCGTACGAGAAATCTAAATATGAAGAAACTTTACACACCAAATTAATTAAGGTTTTGTCCGAGTCAAAGAAGAAGGATAAACATCAGTATCATCTTATGAGGTGTGTGAAATGTGGTGCATTCGCAAAAGGTCTTCAAATTAAAGGGATCATATTATTACCATTTTATTATAAAATGATTGATATTAAATTAAATTATATAAAAAAATAATCTAAATTATTCATGAATATAAAAATATATATTATTCAATTATATTTATAATAAAATGTTAATCTAATATAATTCTAAATTATTTACTTTCATAATTTATTTAAAATTTTATTGATAACAAAAAATAATAATTTAAAATTATATACTTTTCTATTCTTAAATTAAAATCTAAATATATCAATATTCAATAATAAAATAATATAATAAGAGAAAGAATATATTATTTACATATATTACTATTCAATATAATTTCAAATTTTAATTTTAATTTTAAAAAATATTATCATAAAAATTTTAAATTTTTAATAACTAAATTTAATATTTTGCACAAGGCAACTAAAAAATCTGGGACGGTTTGGATAAGCATATCCTCACTCTCATTCATCAATTCATCAATGTTTGGATGATGAGTTGCTCGATAAAATCTCTCATATCACTACGTCAAACGAGGTATGAAAGATTTTAGAAAAAAAATTTCACGGTACAGAGAAAATAAAAAGGAAAAATTAAATTCCTTAAAACCCGTTTTTGAAGCCTTAGTGATGAAAGAATCCGAATCATTTTCGAATTACTGTTAAAGGATGAAGTCAATCATAAATCAATTAAGGATTTACGAAGACAAATAAAAGACGTTTATGTGGTGAATAAGATCTTCCGATCTATAATACCAAAATTTAATTATAATGTATGTTATAGAAATGTTTAAAGATATAAATTTGATGACAATAGAAGAATTGGAAGAAAATTTGACAGTACAAAGAAAAATTGAATAGAAAACAAGGAGAAACATTGGAGGAGATTCTTCAAACAAATGTTGTCTTGAAAAATGATGAGAAAAACAAAGGCCAATGCTTTTGAGGACGTGCACGTGATCGGGAAAGATGAAGTGGATATGACCAATATGGCAGAGGAAGAGGAAATGTAGACAATCCGAGTTATAAAAGAGATAATTAACTATGCCGTGTCAATCAATGAACAATTATGAAACAGATAATAAACAAATGTTGAATGTTATAATTGTCACAAAATGAGACATTTGGCATGGTTGTTAGAAATACGATGAATATATATCTAGTTAGGGTGAAAATAAATAAGTGAATTAAATATGAAATTAGGTATGAGTTTATAGTATAAATATGTATCTTTCTGTGAAGTTTGGAATCAAGTAAAATTGAAGAGAAAAATAAAAGATTAATTTTTTTTCCCAATTTTCTAAAATTATTTCATAATCTTTTCCTTAATTCAACATACCGTGCTTTTGAGAACATTGCTGGCCCATATAGCTTGGCCATGTCCTTGAGATACTTTAGTTTTCTCTCCTGTTTCGTCTTTTGTTCTTTTTCAGATATGATTTTGGATATGTAGGAGGAGAAATCCTGTAGAGAGCCGTAAAATTTCATTGGCTCTGTCATTATGCCTTCTCCTTTGGAGTCTCTCATTGGAGAGTGGCAGAAATGTCGATGAACAAGATGAAAGAGCTCGTGAAGCCGCAGTGGATTCACAACAGATGAAGTTGGATGGTACACCGTCAGCCCGGGCTTCGCATCTACACCATGTTTGGCCACGGCTGCCATGGCTGCATTCACAGTCATATCCACAGGTACCTGCGCTCCAGATCTCTCCAGTAGTTAAAATTCATTGGAACCGATACTGATCAAAAGAATTGAAAGGTGAATGGATGGGAGATGAAGGGCTGTGACTTACAATGTCGAGCACAGCTTGAGGGTCTCCAAATATGCCAGGAAGCTGCCCCTTGCCATAAGCCAATATCATTGGATCCATCACTCTGACAGCAAAAGAGATGGCTTTAACCTTCTTTCATGATCATAGATAGCATTTTCTGTATCCTTTTGACAGAGAAGATGAAGAAAAGGGGAATGAAAGACTTCACTTGTCTCCTTGTATCCATCCCGGAAAAGGCTCTACGTAAGAGCTTTCAACGATTCCAGGTCGTACGATCACAACGGGCAGATCGCCTCGGGAGCTGTCTACCACCATCTCCCCCATTGCTTTGGTGAAAGCATAGGTGTCATGATACCCATGGATCATGGCTCTGGTTTTTATAAAGATTTGGCATGCAGCTTAGCCTTTGAAGATGTGCATCCAAGTTACAGAAATCGTTCTGCTATATGAGAAAAAGATACCCTCACCGTTCAAGACCCAGTTCCTTCATTTTCCGGGTCATTTCTCCCTCAAGGAAAGTTCTTGCAGCTTCTGAAACTAGCTTACCCTCATGCTCAATTTCGAATCTGGGAAGAGGAGTTTCTGGTACTATCCCATGTCTCATTCCATTCACGTAAACTATAAACGGAAGAAGAATGATGTAAAAGGTTTAGACTTTTATCAAAATAATGTGTTCGGACGTAAACTCCTACCGGTTGAGAAATGAAGAACAAGCTTCAGTTTCTTGCATTTTTTGGAAAATCTCATGAACTGGTCGGGTCCCATTGTATTTGCGCTGAGAGCCAAATCGTACCTGTTCACACGCCCAGTTCATTATTTGCGGTTAAAGAAACGTTGCATGTGAAAGATCAAAGGGGTGAAAATGCAGACGAAAGATAAAAGGAACCTGTCCTCAAAGATTGTTCTGGCGGCAGAGCTGATGATGACATCGATCTCCTTGGAAATCATATCGGCTGTTTCAGGGTCCATCCCGAGGTTGTTTTGTGAAATGTCTCCCACTATCGGAATCAACTTACTCGTCATGAAGGCCTCGTAGGAGTTCCCGTGTGTTTGTTTCAGGAGCTCGAACAGGCCTGAGTTTACGATCTGAGAACCCGAATGGACAACGTAAACATGAAAAATGGAGTTGAAAAACAAAAGGATAAAAGAAATCTATGTGAAGAGACGTAGAAGGAGAGAACCTCGTCGTGGAGCCTCTTGCGGGCAGCTTCTTGATCATCGGCCTTCATCAGAAGGAAGATCTTCCCTGTCTCTGGAGTTGCTCTCAACAATTTCTCGATGAAAGCTGCCATTTGTAGTCGAAGATACGAATGCTAGCTCTTTATATTGTAATAATTTACCATAAGATATTTATAAGAACAGTTATACCAACGGGATTATAAATAATCAATCCTCTCGCTCGTAACAGACACCATATATAAGCTTTCTAAAGAATGAATGAAACCGCTACTGAACTACCTTTGGCAAGAAACCCTGTTGCGCCAGTGATGAAGAAACTCTTCCCCTTCATGAAACTGACGATTCTATTGCCGTCACATGCATCTGTCTGTGACGTCACAGCTTCTAGTGTCCTGTCCTAACAAAAAGCAGTAACTCCACGAGGTGACCGGCGAGTTGGCGTCGGAAAACGACAGAAGTTGTGTGGTTTGGACGAGAAGAGACTGTCGTGACCGAAGCCGAAACCAGAAACAGCGGTCACTGTAGTGGCGGTGGTGCTGCAATGGACGGCCATTGTTGTTCACAGAGTTTGAAGAATTATCGTGTACTTTATATTATGTGGGACTGAGTTCTTATGGTTTGTCTGGACAGAAGCGATCCCCTTCACGAAACTGACGATTCTATTGCCGTCACATGCATCTGTCTGTGACGTCACAGCTTCTAGTGTCCTGTCCTAACAAAAAGCAGTAACTCCACGAGGTGACCGGCGAGTTGGCGTCGGAAAACGACAGAAGTTGTGTGGTTTGGACGAGAAGAGACTGTCGTGAAGCCGAAACCAGAAACAGCGGTCACTGTAGTGGCGGTGGTGCTGCAATGGACGGCCATTGTTGTTCACAGAGTTTGAAGAATTATCGTGTACTTTATATTATGTGGGACTGAGTTCTTATGGTTTGTCTGGACAGAAGCGATCCCCTTCACGAAACTGACGATTCTATTGCCGTCACATGCATCTGTCTGTGACGTCACAGCTTCTAGTGTCCTGTCCTAACAAAAAGCAGTAACTCCACGAGGTGACCGGCGAGTTGGCGTCGGAAAACGACAGAAGTTGTGTGGTTTGGACGAGAAGAGACTGTCGTGAAGCCGAAACCAGAAACAGCGGTCACTGTAGTGGCGGTGGTGCTGCAATGGACGGCCATTGTTGTTCACAGAGTTTGAAGAATTATCGTGTACTTTATATTATGTGGGACTGAGTTCTTATGGTTTGTCTGGACAGAAGCGATCCCCTTCACGAAACTGACGATTCTATTGCCGTCACATGCATCTGTCTGTGACGTCACAGCTTCTAGTGTCCTGTCCTAACAAAAAGCAGTAACTCCACGAGGTGACCGGCGAGTTGGCGTCGGAAAACGACAGAAGTTGTGTGGTTTGGACGAGAAGAGACTGTCGTGAAGCCGAAACCAGAAACAGCGGTCACTGTAGTGGCGGTGGTGCTGCAATGGACGGCCATTGTTGTTCACAGAGTTTGAAGAATTATCGTGTACTTTATATTATGTGGGACTGAGTTCTTATGGTTTGTCTGGACAGAAGCGATCCCCTTCACGAAACTGACGATTCTATTGCCGTCACATGCATCTGTCTGTGACGTCACAGCTTCTAGTGTCCTGTCCTAACAAAAAGCAGTAACTCCACGAGGTGACCGGCGAGTTGGCGTCGGAAAACGACAGAAGTTGTGTGGTTTGGACGAGAAGAGACTGTCGTGAAGCCGAAACCAGAAACAGCGGTCACTGTAGTGGCGGTGGTGCTGCAATGGACGGCCATTGTTGTTCACAGAGTTTGAAGAATTATCGTGTACTTTATATTATGTGGGACTGAGTTCTTATGGTTTGTCTGGACAGAAGCGATCCCCTTCACGAAACTGACGATTCTATTGCCGTCACATGCATCTGTCTGTGACGTCACAGCTTCTAGTGTCCTGTCCTAACAAAAAGCAGTAACTCCACGAGGTGACCGGCGAGTTGGCGTCGGAAAACGACAGAAGTTGTGTGGTTTGGACGAGAAGAGACTGTCGTGAAGCCGAAACCAGAAACAGCGGTCACTGTAGTGGCGGTGGTGCTGCAATGGACGGCCATTGTTGTTCACAGAGTTTGAAGAATTATCGTGTACTTTATATTATGTGGGACTGAGTTCTTATGGTTTGTCTGGACAGAAGCGATCCCCTTCACGAAACTGACGATTCTATTGCCGTCACATGCATCTGTCTGTGACGTCACAGCTTCTAGTGTCCTGTCCTAACAAAAAGCAGTAACTCCACGAGGTGACCGGCGAGTTGGCGTCGGAAAACGACAGAAGTTGTGTGGTTTGGACGAGAAGAGACTGTCGTGAAGCCGAAACCAGAAACAGCGGTCACTGTAGTGGCGGTGGTGCTGCAATGGACGGCCATTGTTGTTCACAGAGTTTGAAGAATTATCGTGTACTTTATATTATGTGGGACTGAGTTCTTATGGTTTGTCTGGACAGAAGCGATCCCCTTCACGAAACTGACGATTCTATTGCCGTCACATGCATCTGTCTGTGACGTCACAGCTTCTAGTGTCCTGCCCTGACAAAAAAGCAGTAACTCCACGAGGTGACCGGCGAGTTGGCGTCGGAAAACGACAGAAGTTGTGTGGTTTGGACGAGAAGAGAAAATCGTACCTGTTCACACGCCCAGTTCATTATTTGCGGTTAAAGAAACGTTGCATGTGAAAGATCAAAGGGGTGAAAATGCAGACGAAAGATAAAAGGAACCTGTCCTCAAAGATTGTTCTGGCGGCAGAGCTGATGATGACATCGATCTCCTTGGAAATCATATCGGCTGTTTCAGGGTCCATCCCGAGGTTGTTTTGTGAAATGTCTCCCACTATCGGAATCAACTTACTCGTCATGAAGGCCTCGTAGGAGTTCCCGTGTGTTTGTTTCAGGAGCTCGAACAGGCCTGAGTTTACGATCTGAGAACCCGAATGGACAACGTAAACATGAAAAATGGAGTTGAAAAACAAAAGGATAAAAGAAATCTATGTGAAGAGACGTAGAAGGAGAGAACCTCGTCGTGGAGCCTCTTGCGGGCAGCTTCTTGATCATCGGCCTTCATCAGAAGGAAGATCTTCCCTGTCTCTGGAGTTGCTCTCAACAATTTCTCGATGAAAGCTGCCATTTGTAGTCGAAGATACGAATGCTAGCTCTTTATATTGTAATAATTTACCATAAGATATTTATAAGAACAGTTATACCAACGGGATTATAAATAATCAATCCTCTCGCTCGTAACAGACACCATATATAAGCTTTCTAAAGAATGAATGAAACCGCTACTGAACTACCTTTGGCAAGAAACCCTGTTGCGCCAGTGATGAAGAAACTCTTCCCCTTCATGAAACTGACGATTCTATTGCCGTCACATGCATCTGTCTGTGACGTCACAGCTTCTAGTGTCCTGCCCTGACAAAAAGCAGTAACTCCACGAGGTGACCGGCGAGTTGGCGTCGGGAAACGACAGAAGTTGTGTGGTTTGGACGAGAAGAGACTGTCGTGAAGCCGAAACCAGAAACAGCGGTCACTGTAGTGGCGGTGGTGCTGCAATGGACGGCCATTGTTGTTCACAGAGTTTGAAGAATTATCGTGTACTTTATATTATGTGGGACTGAGTTCTTATGGTTTGTCTGGACAGAAGCGATCCCCTTCACGAAACTGACGATTCTATTGCCGTCACATGCATCTGTCTGTGACGTCACAGCTTCTAGTGTCCTGCCCTGACAAAAAAGCAGTAACTCCACGAGGTGACCGGCGAGTTGGCGTCGGAAAACGACAGAAGTTGTGTGGTTTGGACGAGAAGAGACTGTCGTGAAGCCGAAACCAGAAACAGCGGTCACTGTAGTGGCGGGGGGCCATTGTTGTTCACAGAGTTTGAAGAATTATCGTGTACTTTATATTATGTGGGACTGAGTAAAGTAGCTGATGGGATGATGATGATGAGTGACAATCTGATTCCTCGTATTTCTTATGGGTTTTGCATGTAGTCCTTTTAGCCTCGTATTCTTATGGTTTGTCTGGACAGAAGCTTCTTCATGATGGATCGTAGCCATCCATCCACCTATCGGAAGAAGACGAAATCAGAGCCGTCCATTTCATAAAGGCGTAAGTGTTTACGATCTTGACACGTGTAGTATCAGATTGTCCTCTTTTGGGCTGATGGGCTTTTCAAGTATATGGGCCTATTGTGGATTCTACTCGGACGAAAATTTTAAACCGGAAGATATTTTTGCTAAGACCGGTTTAGCTTGTTCCTTGTCCAATTGTATCTGTGATCGGTTAAAGTTATATAATTTGTATTTGTAATTTAGAAATCCCATACTCAAAAAAAAGGAAACGAAATAAAAATCAATCCTTCAAATCACTATTCTTATTCTACTGTTGTTTAGGAGATAGACGTGAAGTACAATGCTATGACAAAGTGAGAATCATGATAACAGCCACTCCCACTTATATATATATATATATATATATATACACAGTTTCAATGTGCTTAAGAATATGCTTCAATGGCTCCAAAAGATTTCATCAAGAATCAGTTTTGGTCATTACCTTCCACGCTTTGAGTTATGTTTTGTTGCAGCAGACTGCTATACTATTCATATTCTGCTGTATAAGCTCACTCCTTAAACTGCATTCTTCCATCTGCAGAAAAGACAGAAAGAGCATTTCAGTAAACTATGTGTATCTGTGTATGTATATATATAAACATATATATATATATATAGGCTTTGCACCTGTGATGCATGTGTCTTATGAAGTGCAGCTCCGCATTCTTCCATGGACGCTCTTTCTGCGGTTGTCACTCTTGCTAATTCCGACATCAAAGTCTTCATCTCTTCTGCCTGCAGCATTGCAGCAAAGAAGTTGTTCCTGTTATAACAATGTCTCTCTGCAACTGCAATAAAAAAAAAAACATTTTTATGTTACATTTTAAACCAACCTTTGGCATGAGACCACAGACATTTTGTGTAATGCCTTCCATCAGCGTCGTAGCCACTGCAAGTGCTTCTACTAGCTCTTCTGTACCGATCTGATTTCAATTCAACAAAGAAAGCTTTTTAGTGCTTTAGAGCGAGGTGTCGAGAGGAACTGCAAAGTTCTGTTCCGCGGGGGGAAAAAAAATCGATATGATGAACATATTATTACATTGACATTCCCGCTGAGAGGGAGCCGTAACGAAGCGTTCAACAAAGCTTCAGTCACTTCTGAGAGAGATGATGAATACTCTTCTGCAAGGGCAGACCATTCCTCCAAACACGGTGTCTGCAAAATTCCAACAATACAAAATGTTTAGAAACTATTGCCCTTTTAAAAATATAAGCAAAGGCAAGATGATGATTTCAAGTGTGTAACCACAGGCATATGATATGAAAGATGCATTTTTTCCCCATGTGTTCATGGACCAGAAAATATGTAAACCTAAGGTTATATGATATGAGGCTTACTTGAGATTCCACAATTGCTAGAAGTGCTTTGACTTTCAGCAATCTTTGAAGCTCTATGCGTTTCTTCTGTACAGAATCATATAATTCTGCATTCCTAAGACCAAAGGAATATAGCATTGAAAAAAAAAAAAAAAAAAAAAAAAGGATTGGTTAGGTCAAAAGGGATATTGTCTTCATCATCCAGCTTACACTAATGGGCGTCCCTCAGTTCACAGTTCGAAAATCCATCCTGCAATCGATCTAATCCAACCTAGATGGGCAAATCATTTTCACCAAAAGCTAAACTTAGATTGCATAATGTTTGCTACAAAGAAACAGTGTCCTCCATTGGCAGATTAAGAATGCTTAGAATGTAATGCAACACCTCTATCTCCACCGACAAACATAATGACAAATCGACAATGGGTGTTGACAGAGTATAGATTCAAGACACATACACCTACCTCGGCCTGTGTTTTCTGAGCTTGCATTTTGATGTCTGCCTTTGCATTGACAAACATCCACTGCATGTAACGGTTGTGTAGTAATTTCAGAGAATGAACTTCCTCCACCTGTCCTGAAACCTTCCTCGGCTTCTTGCTCTCCGCCTGCAGCTTTGAATTGGGAGGCACCGGAGGCAATGACAAGCCCACGCTGTTCTTCAGAGACAACGAAGTCCTTTCGCCCCCCTTAATGTCTCGGAAGAGAGATGAATCATCACAGCTTGATAATGGAGAAGTTAGAGATCTATACAGAGGCGATGCACTGGAATTGCTTAAGAACTTTGTGTGATTTCGACAGGATTTTGTCGGCAAAAGATCAGAGGGATCTGAAGAGGCTTTGGAATTTTCTCTGTCGCCGTCTTTCTCTTTAGAGGTGGATAAGGAAATACCGCTTGATTGCAGAAGCCTGGTCGCGGCAGAGGCCGTGGCCAGCCGCTGTTGGCTCAGCCGCGATCTGGAAGGTGGAACCACCGTTGGGGTTGGGGTGTCGAGACGCTGACTATTCTCCTTGAGCGGCTTCACTCCGTGTTGATGGGAGTGAAGCACCGGAAACGGCGAGTCGAGGCTACGCGCTGTCTCGGAGGGGCGGTTCTCGTCGCCGTCGCCCATCTTCAACTGCCGTCTCGGCCTCTGAGCCGAAATCGACCGCTGGTTATGGTGGTGCTTGGGAGAATTTGAAGTCAACAGGTGGAGATCTCCGGCGGAGGAAGAGGAAGATGAAGAGACCGGAGACATAAACCGCGAACTGACCTCCCTCACCCTCGGCCTCCGTGTTGAAGGGGGAGGAGCCGGCGGCGCTGCCGGAATCGCGGGTGTCGACGGTTGTTCTGTCATAGATCCGCCAGCTTTCGCCTCCATTTGAATCGAATTTCTTCAGAATCTCTTCCCGGATCTACGAAATGGCCGGAGAATCCAGGAGAGGCAAGTGGCCGGAGTTTCGTCAAATCTGTTAGGGGGTTCAAATCGGATCGAAGAGTATTTGGAACTTCACAGAGAGAGAGAGAGAGAGAGAGAGGGAAGAAGAAGAAGAAGGTCGAAGAAGCAGAGACAAGACGGGGGATTCAGAAAACTAGCCGTTTTGGTCAGAAAGCGCAACGGTCATGTCCCTGGAAACGGTAGGTTTTTCTAGCTTTTCTAATTAGGCAATTAATCTTAAATCAATTAATTAATTAACCAAAAACTGAAGCCCAGCCCATTAACGAGTGAATATGGGCTCGATCTTTAGGCCCATTACCCGTTGCGAATGTGCGAGGGATTCGGATTTGTAAACAGAGAAACCAATTTCCATATTCCACTTTCTGTGTCAAAGAGACATTTTTTTTTGTCTAAATGTCGAAGAGACTTGAAATGGACCAATCTCTTTCGCCATGGCTTCACTACGCCCACTCAAACTCTTATGGGTCATGCTCGATCGAGATGAGGAGGCAATTCAAAGCCTTAGATTGTGCGCACCCAAAGCACCAAAGTCATCCATCCAAGAAACTATGCCGACTTGTGACCCTTCCGCAGGATCAGCTTTAGCAGGACGAACATGCACTGCAAAGACGACGTCACAACGTGCGCCGAAGCTACATTTTCTGGACGAAACAATGCCGAGAGAGCTCCCAATTCTAACATTCACTTTGTATTATGTTTCAGACGACCTATCCAGTATCCAGACACGAGAAACTCGAGGACTTCTAGTTGATAACGGCTCCCAGACAATATACTCGTTTCCAAGAAGAAGCAACAATAGGAGACCCGGAATTAATGGTTTGATCAGCAAGCCAAAGATGAGTAACTAACAACTTTACACTGGATATTGTGGAACTACAAAGAAGTGAAACCTTAACGATTTCCGATCTCTTGCAAAGATGAACTAGTAACATCGACCGAATCATAGGCAAGGAAAAACGAGTCACATAACCCAAACAATGCATTTCTTTTGTAATGTTCCAGAAATTTGATCCACCTTGGCCTTTTGACTATCCAAAGTCTATGCACAGAATATTCTCTCTTTGTGTTCTTAGTGACTGACATCTCTGTACAATTGTAGGTTCCCTCAAATAAGTTCCTTTTTGGGGTTTGCGATAAACTTAAGTGAGTTCTTTTTTGCTTTGATCATGGAACTTGCAACCAAAGCGAGAGTTCATCACATTCTCATGTCTTTCATAAATTTACTTGGAAATCTTCACTCTCATGGTTGGAACTGTCGCCGGTAGCACATTCTTTGTGGCGTCCTTCTCCTCCATTGGCTGCGTGTGCATATGGAACAAGCTTTGTTATTTGACATGTTTTACTCTCTTCCAGGGTTGTGGTGGAGCTGATGAACATGTCAGAGCAGGATGAGTTTAATTATACCGAGGATATGATCAATAACGATTTCAGCAACTATTCTGCGTGGCACAATCATAGGCGGTAGGGTACGTACGTATCACGGGCGCGCAATCAAATGGGCAAAAAACAATTGGAGATCGTACAATTGGTGTAACTAGAACCCAGAAAAGTACAGAAGAGAAGACCCATGGTGGACAAAAACAACGAACGCTGAATCCTGAAGTCAAGAATCACTATGTCGGAGAAATGAGAAACACTATTGGGATCGCGACAATTGGAGATCGTACAGTTTGTTGTGGTGATTAAGCATGGACTGAGACCGGAGTGACCGGAGCTCCTCCGATGTCGGAGCTTTCCTGGGACCGCCGTGCATTTCTCCTCCGCTGTCAAGCGAAGACGAAAGCATTGGACGAGAGAGGGAGAGAGACAAATCTCAATCTCAGCCGTTGGATGAGAGCCGCGAGTGGAATCCCATCAGGGTTTTGAGCTTTTTTTATTTATTTTTTTTGCGCGACTTGATGATCTTCTATTCGGAATTATGGTTGGAATTTTACCCAATTTGGAGATTGTGCACGTTGAATCCAAAGTACCCTTCTATGCCTTTTTTGTGGTAACAGATCTGTAAGAATTCTAAGCCTGCTTTAATATTTTTTCCCCAAGGCTTTGAGGGATTTTTTTGCTGCTTTTTTCCTCAATGTTGAAATGAAACATCAATGAGATAAAAAAAAAAAAAAAAAAAAAAAAAAAAGAGGTTGGATCCTCAGAACAAGTAGATTCTGGCAGTGTATTGGCTCCATTCGAACAAGATTTTTCATCCAAAATATTTATGACATTTTTTTTGGTAAAAGATAAATATATAAATGAATAAATATTTACATTCTCTCAAAAGAGAAAACACCTGGAGTAGAACTCCATTTTACAGTCCAAAAGAAAATTTGGATTCTATATTCGTATTTGCAAAATCTCACAAAAAAAATAGCAACTACATCTAGTTATTGTCAATCTCGTATCACGTAATATCTCGCCCCCTATCATTCATAAAGTACCAGTATTGCAATACATGATTGTTCTCATGGGAGCCCAATTGTTTTTTTGTAAAGGTTTGTATAATATAGTTTTTTTAAAGTGTGAACTGAAAATTGGCAGTGTGATTTTTCGTTGAAATTTGAAATGTTTTTGACAGGCATTACTTGTAAACATCTGGTCTAATATCATTACTATCGAACATTTTTTATAATATTAAAGTTTATTATACCTTCAAGGTGAATGAAAGACATATTAGATATACAATAAGATTGATTAATAATTTTTTTAGTGATTCATATATTTTAAAGACATTATTATAAAATTAAATCGTTTTTATAAAATTGAATAAAAACTATTGGAATGGAGAAATAAATAATTAAAAAATGAAATATAAGAGAAATGTTACAAAATACAATTAAGGATTCCGCTTTCTCAATTCCAATCTTATATTTATCCGGAAAATCGGGGTTTCTTGAAAAGTTTCCGGGTGTTGTCTTTATCCCGTATCACGGGATCCACAAGACGACAAAAAAAATGCCACGCTGGCTTCCAATCTCTCACAGGCAGATTGAGGAATGAGAGAACGGAAGACTCGAAAACCCGAACGGCGTATCAACATGGCTCCATTTTCCTCCCTCCATCATCATCGTCGTCGTCGTCCCTTCCTCTTCGCATGCTCCTCCCCCCACCATCACCACCGCTCCATCTCCGCTTCCTTCTGCCAAACTTGCGGCGAATACTGACGTTGCCGCCATCGGAAGCTGGATCGTCTCCACCGCCAGCTTCCGTTTCTTCGAATCGTCCTCGGCTTCCCATCGAAGCTGACTCTCTCCAGCGAAGCACCATAGCCTCCGTTCACCCGGGACGGCGATTCGGCCTCTCGGACTTGTGTCGGGAAACGGCCAGGCGTTTTCGATTCTAGTCCAGGAATCCGAATCTGGATCGTAAACTTCGGCGTCGGATCGGAATTGGCCTTGAGTCTCCGTCCTGTAACCGCTCAGCACGCAAAACCCTGGATCCGCCGCCATGGCAAATCCATGGCATTCGTCCCTTTCTTCCTCCATGGGAGGAAGCGTCATCCACTCGTCCTTTTCCACATCGTACATCTCCGCCGATCTGAGGGCGTTCTTCTGGTCGTCGTGTCCTCCGGCGACGAACACCTTCGCCGGACCGGCCGCGGCGCAGGCGAAGAACGACCGAGCCACCGCCATCGACGCCCCTCGCCGCCACCTCCGGCCACTTCCCTCGCCGGCGAAGTCGAGGACAAACACGTCCCTCACAGGCTGCAGCGTCTCCGGGTCCCACCCGCCGATAAGCAGCACTTTTCCGGCGTGCCGAAGCGCAAATCGGCTGGGGGAGCGCGATTCGGTGCCACGTGTTCGCCGCCGCGTTGTACACGCTCAGCCCGTATCGGGGTGCGCCGCACACGCGCGGCTCCTGCCACTCGCCGGTCTCCGTTTTCTTCTCGTCCTCGTCGATCACCGGTTCCGGCGGCGGTGCCAGCGATCGAACGAGGCATAGAAGAGGCTCAGATTTGCCGCACCCCCGCCGCTCCCGGTAAAACGACGTGAGAGAGAGCAAGGTCCGCCATGAGTGGCAGACGGATTTCATGGCGGAGTGAAACCTGTAAGGAACCCTAACCAAGCACTCCATGGCCAAGTCATCTGGTAAACCGGGAATCAGATTCCGACACATCTGGAAATATCCTCCGCGAATTTCCCCTGTCATCTTCTTCTTCGCATCTCCTATCTATTTTCCTCTCTCGACGAAGATATATATAATCTGATCTACTAAATCATTGGTTTAGCTACAAAACCCAGAAATATTCAAAACAAAAATTGACGAGAGCTGTGTGATTTCAATGGATACACAGTTGAAGAGGTGGTCGAAAATATGCATATACATATATATATATATATATATATATATATATGTATATGGCCTCTGTGAAAAATCCCGCCAAAAACAAACTGCTTCCGCAAAATATTTACGCACCCTCCCCTCTTTTATTTTTTTTTTTTACGGATATTTAACGTTCGTGCAAATATCTACAACAAAATTATTGTAAAGGTCAAATATTTACATATTGTATTAAATAGTCCGCATAAAATTCAATAACCAATTCAGATTGTTCTCTCTTTTTTCTTTTGACGTGCAAATATCCGCACAAATTTCAGATTATTAATCACATGATTAAAGATAATACAGATAGTTTGTCTTGTCCCATGCATTTATTACCATAAAAAAACGGTCTAGTTGCACGAATTACCCATAAACGGTCTACTTGTCCCATTCATTTATTCGTGCGCATAATTTTTCTACAATTTAACCTATTATAAAAATTCGATACAAAAATAAATAGATATAATTTTTGTGAAATATAAGAAAAATTCATATAAAATCCAGAATGAAAATGATCAAAACTACTAGGTTTTATTCATATATATACAATGACATAAACTGTTTAACTGTGTATGCAGACTTCTGTTTTACAATGTGAAGAGAAAAGAAATGCTTTCTTCTTGACAAAATACACAAAACTGATTTCAAAATTAACCTTTACCAACAAAAAAAATCAAATAATTTAACAGTAAATTTTGAAACAATATAGTTTATGATGTTGGTCTATACAAGGACAATCAATAATATATGACGGAACAGCCTTACGTTATCTTCTTCCTATCAAGCACATGACACGTGTCCATGCACACTCAGATGTCCACAGGATGTATGTCTCCTTCCTTTCGCCTTGTAAAATAAAATAAATCTCATTTTTGTAGAAAATATCCGTATATAATATATGTAAAAAAATTCACAATAATATTATATATAGACTAGAAAGCGTGTATTAATTACTCGATGGCCCATTTCGTCCAATCCCTATCTTCTAACTTTATAATTTTTTTTATATATATATAAACTAACTTTATATTTTCCCTCTCTTCTATTTTAATTTTTTTTTCTTTGATTTTTTCGCCTACAGAGAATTATTAACGACCGACGAGAGAAAGGCATCAAGATTGCTTAAATATAAAGGAAACGATCATTGATTTTTATACTTTTTAGAGTCCATATATATATATATAATTAGATATAAAGAAGATCGTATTTAATAAATATATTGTAAGAGTATTCTAATCTTACAAAGAAATGGAACATAATACCGTTACCAAAAAATAGAACATAATACATATCATAATATTTATATATTCGGAACACTTTTTAATTTGACATTGTAGAGTTATCGAACGCCAACTTGTCAAGTATGTCTCTAAGATCATATAGCTAAACTGATAATAAATAATAAAAAAAAATTCTTTTTCCATTCAGATTCGAATCTTTAATTTGAGAAAAATATTGGGACAAACCTAAAAATAATCTTCAACTTTCACATTTACACACAAAAAAACCTTCTACTTAAAATTACTTATAAAAAACTATCAACTATTAATTTGGAAGAAAAAAACCCTAAACTATATAAATTGTTTAAAATCAGTTTTTCACTTTAAATTTGTTATAAAAAATTATCAACTATCAATTTAATAAAAACAATATCATCTATCTAAATTGTACTTAAAATTGAGTATATTTTATTATTATAAATGATAAAAAAAATTCTTTTTCAATTCCGATTCAAATCTTTAATTTGCGAAAAATATTTACATGAGTTTTTCTGATTTTTTTTTAAAAACATAGTGAATTTCTTGATTATAAATAAATTGTCAAAGTATATGGTCAAATCAAATGTGTGGCATCTCAAACATTTAATAAGAAACGGGAAACGGTTGCGATCCATTCATTCGGTCTTAAATACATGAGAAAACTTCATTCGATATATATTGTTATTTGGTCGCATATCTTATCAATCAATCTTGATATGTTTATTGATTATCATTAAAAAAAATAGGAAAATGCAAGAAAAATATGGAAATTCAATATATAAAACATGATTATGGATTCCATAAAATAACATGCAAATCCCATGCAGTCGTTACAAAACGAACAAAAGATACAAGTGATAGTAATCTGAAACGAGAGAGAGAGAGAGAGAGAGAGAGAGAGAGAGAGAGAGAGTTGTCTTCTAGAAGATTATCGACATCCTGTATTCATACTTCCTTTTTTTTTTTTTGGTGAATTCATGTGTTCATACCTAGTGGGCCGCATGCCTTATCTCCTCCCGTTGGGGCTTCTGTCGCTATCCTTCTAGAAGACCCTCGTTTATTTTATTTTTGTTCTCACAAAAAATACTATACATTTTTTTAGCAAAATCTTTTTTATATTCTTACCATCATTTCAAGAGAAAAATGTCACGGTATGATGACTAAATTAGCCATTTTTTTCTATGGAGATTTTTAATGATGATTTTTTTAAAAATAAATTATTTTTTCTTTTTTTTTTATCCCAAGGTTTACAAGAGTATATGCACATCAATTTCAGGTGGAAGCATCATTAAGAAATAAATAAATTCTTACGAAATTAGGATTCTTGTTTTGATTATGAACCCAAAAATGTATTTATTTGTGTTGAAAACGAGTTTTTATATCTTATGATATATAGATTGTGAAAAATAAACTAATTAACAAAATGTCATGGTCCAATATATCGAGCTACTTTTTTTTTTAATATTACAGATGATTTGATATATGTTTTTTTATGGATATTGTTCTGCCTAAAAAACAAAAGCTTATGAAATATAATGAAATGACTTAAATGGACCATCATTTACTAATCACTAGAATTATCAATGTATTTTGGCTTAACCATCATTTAATTACTCTTCCAAAATTCTTAATTACTTAAACCAAACAGTTAACAGTCTCAGATTTCGAGGTGAGTATATTATAAAATAAAAATTGATGAGAGAAGAAGTTAATAAAACTAGAAAATAATGAATGGAACAAAACGAAACACCAACGATATTGGGCTTGATATTGGGCCTGATCTTCCATATGGGCTCTTCTTAGGTACTTCTCCATGACAGGTTCCAAGTATTAGTTTTTAAAATAATATATTTTCTCATATTAAATTTAAATTTAGAATGGATGACCGTCCGTGTAACAATACAGAAAAAATAATTTGGTTTTCATGGTTATGGGGATAAAGTTATAAAACTATTTATTCAGTACCAAAATAAATTTTAGTTGGTGTATGTTATGAAAAGAATAATGTTAGTACATTAATTTAGGAATCACTAGCCAATCCATGGTTTATACTTTATACTATAGCCATGGCATGTATGTATGATTGCATGGTTTTGGCTCAATGTGACGCCGGGCGTACACAGATAGCACGTGTGATTCCTAGGGTTCCAATTTGTCGTCTTCATCTTCCTCCGTTGACTCCGCTGCTTGCTCCGCCTCTGCAATCCACCGCCGGAATTCAGGCACCCCTCTCTCTTCCCTTGTCGTCTGTCCACTCTCTCTGCCCATCCCTTTCTCTCTCTCTCTCTCCCCCCCCCTGTGCGTGACTCGCTCCTCTCTATTTTCTCGCGACAGGATAAAACGGGTCGGGAGTCATTGTTGCCAATTCGAGGTAATTATTCTACCTTCCTCTGCGCCATTTCAATTTTCTGGGTATGCCGACAGAGACATCGGAGCTCAAGATTTTCCCGAGTGCATTTCGTTTAGCGATGAGCGATCTGCTTTGTTCTCCAAAGCTGCTTCCTTAGCAGAAGCAGACTCATATTGTCCGTCTAGTTCTGTTTTGGTCTTAGATTGGCCGAGTTTGAGAATCTGTCGGATAGTTGCATGTGAGTTGGCAAGGGATTTCAGCACAGAAGCATCTTCAGATCTATGCATCTCGGATGATTTTATCTCTAGGTGTGTATTTTTCTATTTCATTCAACCCGTTACGTTACCTTTCACTCCTTTAATTTGTTAATTATATGGCGAAGAAATTGTCTTTCCTTGATCTATTCTTTCTGTCTTCATCATTGTATTTGCGCATGTATCCATCCCTTTACAGACGGGCAATGTTCTGAATGCTAATCTAGCTTGCCACCGTTTAGATCTAAGCCAGCCTGATGGAACCCATCAACGGGGGAAACAATGTCAATAGCAATCCTAGTCTTGCGTCCAAACAACGTTTGCGTTGGACACATGAGCTTCATGAACGGTTCGTCGATGCCGTAGCACAACTTGGTGGCCCTGATAGTGAGTTTCCATAAGTCTCAATCTTTCGAAATTCCTATTCTTTGCAAAAGTCGATATTTTTTCCCTTTTCCCTTTGCAATTCTTCGGTATTTTAACTCAAGAATCCCGACTAAAGCCTCGAGTTCGAACCTTTCAGTTGCACCTAAATATGTTGTTTGTCATTAGGAGTTTGGTTAGTATAAGGCATTGCTTGATTGGGATGCTGAATACGTTTCTTCTTTCCTTTCATTTTATAAAGGAGCTACACCTAAAGGCGTGCTCAGAGTAATGGGTGTACAAGGATTAACGATATATCATGTTAAGAGTCACTTACAGGTATGAGACATGTGTGGGTTTGGCCTCCTTGACTTTTCTCCATCTTTCTTGTTTCTCTTACCTGTATATGTGTCGTATTCATATGATATCTTCCCTTAATCTGCAAACGTGTTTCTTGGATGTCTCAGAAATACCGCTTGGCAAAGTATCTGCCAGATTCCTCATCTGAAGGTGAGGGAAAATTTGTGTTTCATTCATGTTGTCATTATGGTCCTGGAGTGAGTCATCCATTGGATCTGAAGTTGTTACGTTTTTTTAAAAATAATGGCAGGGAAAAGAACGGATAAGAAAGAATCTGTAGATACGCTCTCTGGTTTAGATGGTTCATCGTAAGCGAAACCTCATTGCTGAGTTCTTTTGTTATGCCACTGCAATGGTGTTTCAATTTAAAAGATGAGTGGGATGCTTATGTTTCAATTCAATTCCAGGCAGATAACTGAAGCTCTCAAGCTGCAGATGGAGGTTCAGAAACGGTTGCATGAGCAGCTAGAAGTGTGTTTGACCATTCTCCTTTCAGTAGATCTGTCGAAAAAGAGCGGATTGTATTTTCACCGGAGCGATATCATCATCTTTTGAGTTCCTTTGGTGCTTTTTTCAGGTACAAAGACAACTGCAACTACGGATAGAAGCACAGGGGAAGTACCTGAAGAAGATAATTGAAGAACAACAGCGAGTCAATGGAGTTCTGGGCGAAACCTCAGCTCCAGGGACAAGTGATAACTTCCCAGAGAGAGATAATAACAATGATCCTTCAACTCCTGCACCGACCTCCGAGTCTCCAATCCAAGATAAGTCGGGTAAGGAATGTGGGCAAGAGAAGAGTCTTTCACTTGACGAGTCTCTATCGTCGTACCGTGAGCCATTGACACCAGACTCAGGGTTCGATTATGGTTCTACCCGTGAGAGCCCTAGAGGTGAAGAGAGGTCATCGAAGAAGCCACGGGTCTCAGCGGATATGGTAATGGTGCCTCCGATACTGGAATCGGGTCTGAACTCTTCCTACCACGAGACAAACCCTGCATTTTTATTGAAAGGTCAGTTTGATCATCCATCTTCTGGTTCATTGGTCGGAGGAAGTGAAGATGGGCTGGACAAGGTTTCTTCTGGAGAGAATCTATGAGGTCTTGGTTCCTGTCCCTGTCCCTAAAAACCTCGAGAATTTTAGATACTGCAACATGTTGTAGCAATGGAGATGATGTTGTACTTATATTTGCTGAGATACTTGCTGTAAGATGTAAATGCAAGAACCCAAGGAGACAGAGTCCATGTTTCTTGTTCTTGATACGGTGCTTCCTTCCTTCCATAGTTGTTGAATCATTCAGAGAGGGATTTGATCAATCGGTTTTTGTAACAATGATCATCATCAATGGTCATCATCATCAATGGTCATCATCATCATCATCCATTGAAACCCAAGTGTGATCACGAAATACACGTGGAACGCGTCCAACCGAATCCACAGATGAACACTGCTCGAGGTATTTACCCTTACAAAATGATATCTACCGTTTACTGTTCCTGCAAACATGAAATTCGGTTGACTTGTGATTACTTGTATAAAAAGTTTACGCGGTACGATTAGCTTTTGAATGAACACTGTCTTTATCATTATTGTATTATCCGTTAGGTACAAACATCGTCAAACAATAATTTCGTAAATGCATGCGCCTTTTTATTACTTTGTCTATGATTGGTTTTTTTGGTTATATAACCGAAGAAGCTGAGTTGTGTCTGGAAATGGTCAAATATTATCTAAATATCCAACTAGTATTTGTCCATTTTTAAAAAAAAAAAAAAAAAAAAAAAAAAAACTCGTCTGTCTGTCGTGCAGACATATTCACACTTTTATATATTATAATAACCCATACATACGCAGTAATATATACACGCGCACACACATATATATATAAGCTGCACCAAGTGAGACCTGCATGGAGGTTTTTATATAAAGATACGACCGAGTTTTTTTCATTGCAATAAGAGATCTCTGATTTATTTCAGATTCCATTGCCAAGAATCTGAAAAAAAAAAGGAATAGAGAGAAGAAGTCACGACCGGAAACAATGGCGGAAGGAGGAACGAACTTGGAATACACACCGACGTGGGTTGTCGCCGTGGTCTGCTCAGTCATTGTCGCCATATCTTTCGCCGTCGAGCGTATCCTCCACCAAGCCGGAAAAGTATGTATCCGTCGATACAGATACGATCTTAATCATATACATGCTTGCGTACGTACGTATGTATATATAGTTTTGTACGTATGACAAAGTTATTGGTTATGATAAACAGAGATTCCAGAGGAAGAACCAGAAGCAGCTTTTCGGGGCACTGCAGAAAATCAAAGAAGGTGAGTTATTTTGAACATTTCCATTGAGTATACACAAATGGGTACAAATGGGTTCTTCTGTGTATATATATCTATATGTATATGCAATCGTTGATTACAAAAATCCATTTCTGACAAGGAATACATGAAACCGTGTGTGTGTCAGAGCTTATGCTTCTGGGTTTCATATCGCTGCTGCTGTCAGTGTTCCAAGGGAAGATTGAGAAGATTTGCATCTCGAAGGAACTAAGTACGAAGTTCTTGCCTTGCAAGAAACCCAAAGACGACAACTCCCTCAAAGACGCGTCCCATTTTCAGACCCTTTTCCTCTCTCAAGCTTCCCATCTCACCGGCCGTCATCTCCTCGCCGGAGATTCCGCCGCCGCCGGCTACTGCTCCGCCAAGGTCTCTATTCCCTTGCCTTTACCGTCCTCTTCCTAAAAAGATTACCGAGTGTTATCCAACCTGGATAGCTCAACCGGTGAAACGAAGATGTAAAGCGTCTATCCCATTCCGAATTCGAGGCTCTAAGTTGCAAAAAAAAAAAAAGATTACAGAGTGTTCTAATCAAGAACGTGCATAGGAATATAGGATTAAAAAAACACCCAAAATAATTGTTTTTTCATATTGTAGAATTGACTATTTGGACTTTTTTTTGGGTGCGAAATTCAGGGCAAGGCTCCATTAATGACACTTTCAGCTGTGCACGAACTTCATATATTCATCTTCGTGTTAGCTGTCTCGCACGTTGTCTTCTCCCTCTTGACCATTCTTTTCGGAACTATGAAAGTAAGTTTCTACTACAACCTAGTACAACATGTATCCTTTATATATATATATATATATATATATATATAT